GGGGGCAAAGTTGGGTGCTATTTAAAACATGAAAATATTCATTTCTGTTAATGCTTTAAGTTAATTGTGCTGCATTTATATATTGTTTACAATTTTGTTATTTATTTAATTGATTATTATTGAATGTTATTAATTAAATTGGTTGAACACAGAGGTGACGATCCTCATTGTTGTTTGAATGGTCCATACTGTTGATTGAATGATAGTTTTCTCAGTGAGTCATATGTCGAAAAATTTTATCATTTATTATGATCAAATAACATATCTGTAGGAATCATATTTTAAAATCTATATTAATAAATTCTTTTAATTAAAATGCAATCCTTGGTTTTTGGCAAGATCGATCAAATTTATAGTTTTATTTATATCAATAGCCTACAATAAACAGGAAATATCCTTTTCTTTTTGAGAGTTAATTTGAGTGTTTTGACTAGGTTCATGATGTTTGTGAGCTAAAAATGTTTGACATATGCAAGTGTTTGTGACCTAAAAATTATGAAAATATGTCCTTAAATATGAGTTAAAATTGTTTAGGTTTTGTTATAAGAGAGATACTCCAGATAATGTGGTACTTGAAAATAGAGACTTGTGAGTTTTGATGGAAACAGCTTTGCCTTCAGTGAATGTGTTGACCTCTTTGATAGCTTTTTAATTGGTACAGTTAGTGGCGTTAAGCCACGTGTTCCAACTTTTAATAATGGGTTGGGAAGGTAATGGCATTGAAGGAACCATTTCTTTGACATTTTGCACTTGTTATGGAGCTTTGATGAATATTTTATTCACTGCAGAAATTAACTTATCTGCATCAAGATAATTTCCACAAATTTCTTCTGCAATTCTATTTAGTGCATTTTACATGTATCATTTTACAGTAAATTTTCTGCAAACCATGCCAAGGTTCACTATGTAATAGGGCTGCATCAGTTCTACTAGAAGTACAGATTCATTGCTAATGCAAGGTAACAGCAATTGTTGAGTAGGTAGTTCTGTCCAATGTTTCACAGGAAATAAATTTATCTCCTTCTCGGCCTCCCCTTAAAACACCACTCACAACGTTTGAATTAAGAGATGAGAAAAATTTCTTTGAGACGACTGCGAGGAAATATGTGAAAATGGATTCAAAATAACTAGTGGTGCTAAAACAGCATATATTTTCTCTCCTGTATTTTCACGCAAAATTACGCGAAAAGCACTCAAACTAGTAAAAAATTGTATATGACCATACTTCAAAGTCTATCTTTAAGTCACAAATTTTATTAATGTGAAAACATTTTCTTTAATATTTTAGTTGTAGGAAGACTCCGATTTTTTTCATTTTTGCAGTTTTTGAAAAATCAGTGTTTTCAACGATCATGAGACCTGCACCATTCGCTTAAACGTCCTTCACATTGTCCTACAACAAACTTTAATCAAAAACGTTAGAGCCATTTTTTTGAAATTTTGAAAATTCGGACGGACGGAAAGGTTACAAAGACCCACCAAACATAGATTCTGGCTACACCACATATTAGGACTATTTTTCTAAATTTAGAAATCGGATTTATCCACTTTTTGTTACGAGAGCCCTGTAATAAGTTTTTCTGTCCCGTTTTTTTCGCGCAGAACATAACGTTCATGACAGCGTTCTCTGTACCCTGTAAGCGGTTGCGAAAAAGTAAAAACATGGCGAAAATTCGTCGCAAAATATGATCATAATATGGAATATAAATGTAAAATGACTAAATGGTTTAAAAGAGCCAAAATATGACGGTATGTGAAAGCAAAAATTGGAGGATTATTAGACCTCGGAATGTTAGGCATAAGAAAGTGATGATTTCAGGCACTTAAAATTATGGAATTATGTAATAAAATGATAATTAGGCACTATTAGGCAAAAATGTGACATTTTAGCCACTAAAATAGGTGACAACAATATTAAGCTAATCATATAAAAATATTTGTCTTGAAAAGTTATGCTTCTGGCATGTAAGATATATCATAAAAGCATTAAATCAGAAAACTTTAATTATTCAGGAAAGTCAAGTATTTTTACATTTAAGAGAGTCACTACAAACATTGTATTTTATCCCCTTTCATTTCTTTCATACTTATCATTCTCAATCTGTGAACAGCACAGCTGCACCGGAAATGGGTGCAATTGCCTGAGAAGTGCATGCTGATCAGAGATGAGTGTGAAACATCCTCTTTACGTTCACTAGCAAAGCTTATGTTCAGTGAGTTGGGTGAGAGATCTCAGTGTGATTCGGTTCTGAATTCGATCAGGAACTACTCGTATTTCGAGAAATTCAGGAAAGGATTAAAGTAAAAAAAAAAAAAAGGTATCAACCGCCTATTTAGGACATTTTAAGCACTGTTAGATACCTTCAGTGGATCTATTTTTTCATGTTCTGTAAACATCTGTAAATATTTTTCATACACTCCTTAAGGAACTAAATAGGCATTTGCCCTAAAGTCCTAGGTCTAATGATTACACATGATGCACATAAAATCATGCTTAATGTATATTTTTCTTGTAAATAATGTCAGAAAAAATATGAGATGTCATAAACATCTGTGCCCTAGTTATGAGTTATAATTTTAGGCACAAAACTTTTTAATTTCTAAGACAATAACATTTAGAAACAAAAGATAATTGAAAGAGGATTTATTAATATGGGATTCTGTAATGCTAAACATTACCCTGCACTGTTTTATAACACTGAACTAATGTTCGCCAATTTATTAATGTAAGTTACTAGTTGATTCCTGGCACACTGCTGCCGCTGCAGAAATAATTGTGGAAATATCATTTGAAATTTGAAAAAGTTGTCTTCTTCTTTTTCTTATTTAAGAGTTAACTTATTTCCCCTCTCTGTCTTTCACTGTCTCTCTGTCTGTCTCTCTCTCTCTGCCTGTCTGTCTCTCGCTCACGCTCTTTCGCATTCTTTCGCTCTCTCGCTCGTTTAAAATTGTTTGCACATGTGTAAAAAATTATCTTTATTTTCCTGTCTAACAGAAGTTGTTATTATGAACAATAACAAAATGTATGTTTCATTATGAAGCTCACTTGTGAATAAGTGCAGGATTCAGATTTTAATTTTGCCTAGGCTAGATAGATCAATGCCAGCTCACTTGTACTCGTGGGTCTCCTGATCTCTAATATTGAGTACACCAAATCTTGTAGTACTGCTGGAGATTTTTTTCTATCATGGAAGTTGGGTCACATGTGGAATGAGTTCAGCCCAGTGCCCGGCAGAATTGAAGCCAGAGTAGGATAGTAGCAGAAAAAGGAGGATCTTAGGAAGCCCATAGCCTGTAATTTGAGGTACTGCTTGGGCATCCAGCTAAAATTAATCAGGGGAAACTACAGAAATACCCAATAGAATTCTCATCCAGGTCGTAGTCTGCTTTCATAGAGCTTTTTAGCATGAAAGGAAGCTAGGACCTCCTGGTCTATCTTCAGCGGCAGACTTGCAAATGCATACGCCATTTCTAAATATACTTGTTCAGCTTCTTGTGGTAATTCAATGGGATATTGAAATTACAATGTTGAGTCTTGATGAAATGTATTGCAATTGTTTGCATTGCTAGGGAGAGGGGAGGTTAGGAAAGACACACTCCAAAGTATGTTTCCAGCTAAGAAATATTATTAGAAGAAAGTTTAAAAAAATGAACATGCATTTCATAACAATCTATGATCAGAATTTTATTTACTGAACAATGGACAATTAAAATTATAGTAGATTGCAATGTTTCAGCAATTTTGATTGGTTGTGACAAATCCATCAGAGATTTTCTGTATATGTAGGCTACAATTACAAACAACTGAATGAAAAAGTTTGTCATTATAATCAATATTTTCTCCTTCTGTTCTAAATGATTGGAAAGAAGCAATGTAAATTACCGATTTGTGAATTTATGAGCAGGGGGGAAAAACCCTCTAAAAATGTGGTAGAATGGTGTATATTTCAAATTTAACAAACGTGAAATTTAATTAACTGTAGTGCCTGTTATAAGTGGGGACCGTTTAATATGATAGAAATCCTTGCCCCCTTGGTTTTTTATTGGTTTTTTTAGAGGGCATCGTTTCAGATATAATGACATTACATATATACTGTTGTCAGTCATAACAAAATGAGTTTGCGAGCCCTTGAAAAGAAATATAGTTTTAACAAAAGGAAACTGTCAAATGTCTTTGTAGTACTTAATATTAAAATTTTAATATTGATGACAATTTAAGCTATTAGCCGACTATTAAATAAATAAATTAAATTTTGTTGTGCATTAACTGTTCTTTGTTGCCTACTGTTTTCGTGATACAATGTCTAAAAGAATTAGTAGTATCACCTTGGAGGATAATTTACATTGCTTCTGTTTGAAATATGATTAAAGATTTTTTTAGGTAGTTTACTGATCATCATTCCACAGTATCAAAAATTGACCAATATTTTTATAAAAACTGTATTTCAGGGGATATGCCTTAAAGATAAGTAAAAGAAAATTATGAAAAATTAAAATTCAACTTGTTTATTCTAATGTTATAACTTGTAATTTTTGGAGTGTTATGAAAAAAAATTCTATTAAAGAGTCTGTAGAGCAGGTTGCTATTTCTTTAAATTAAAGAAAAAAATATTTAAGGACACTTTGCTTCCCCCAGGTACTGGTGGGCCCCACCCAACAGTCATAGATGATCCATTTTACCAACAATTATACTATTTTAAAGGAATGGGTCTCCCCTTTGTTACTGAAGTGAATTGTATTGGGAAGCCCTGCTGGGCCCCACTTTCTGGAGTACATCATTCCTTGCAAGGTAACCCATTTTCCATTCCCACTGCCCCCACTTCCTACCTCAAAGTAGTCCTTGGACTCAAAGAATACATTACATATTTAAAATTTATACTGTTTGGTGTATAAAAAGAGGATTTGAAATTTGGGGAAATATTATCTGATCCTGGAGAATCAAATCAAAAAAGAATGAAGTAAGCAAAGGAGATGTGACTGAACTCGTGCTAGATAATATATTGAAAACTTTGGCTGTGAATTTTGCTTTGTTTTGAAGGATCAGGAATTACTTCTGTTAAGATTTATTTTGTTTGATCTTTAAGAGTTAATTATTTTACTAAATGTGAATATGTTTTGCAGCCAGAATTCTGAGATCTCCCTAAAGAGCACTGCCAGTCATGCAGAGATTCTGGAGGCCATGCGCCACCCTGAGAAAGGAGTGGGCTTTCTCACACAACATCCTAGTTTGCCTAGCTACACATTTGTGAGTGCAGATGCGGTGCAATGGCTTATTGCACATGTAGAAGGGGTTCAGAATGAAGAATGCGCTGTGTCAATCATGGAGGTGAGCTATAGTTTGTCATTTTTTCTAATAAATCTAATTGCGACTGATGGACCTTTGGACTGACTGACCGAATGTCTGTTAAACTATCGAACTGATTGCTTGTCCGGCAGACTTCACTGCCTGTCATATTGCTTTCCAGACAGACATTTTACTGACTGACGGCCAATCAACGGAAGGACAGACCGATGGGCAAATTGACTCTCGGATGGACTTAATGTTAACTATCAGACTGATTGCCTGACCTTACTGTCGGACTGACTGGCTGGCTGTCAGACTGACTGTTGGAGAGACGGACTGACTGACTGTCGAACAGACTGACTGGCTGACTGATTGGCTGTCGGAGAGACAGACTGACTGAATAATGTAATATGTATGTATGTATGAATGTGTGTGTGTGTGTGTGTATGTGTGTATGTGTGTGTATATATATATATATATAATTTATCTCTTTTTCTTTGTTTTGCTTGAACAGAGGATGCTGCAAGAAAAAGTGGTGTGCCATGCTTCTGGTGATTTTGCCCATCCATTCATTGTTGGATTTTATTTGTACCATGTGGTTCAACTGCCGAAAGATAAAGGTAAGCTATTGCTGAAACATGATGTTGGTAGAAGCACTAGTTTTGTTGATCAGTATAGTCCACAAATTCAGACATTTATTTTATCTAAAATAGGCAGGCAAAGAAGCACTTATTTTTACAAAAATAGGCAGCCCAGAAAGACATTTCAGGCCAAAATGGAGGTATCTAAAGGCATGAAACAAAAAAAAAACCATTTAAAAGGAATTATTATAAACAATTCGTAATGATAATGATTAAAATTTTTATTGGAACTAAAATTTACATTAGCATGTACATGGAAGGAAACAATCTTTTGTTTGTAATCTTGGATGCACATGACCACAGAAGGAACATCTTTTACAACACCAGAAGTGTTTAAGTGCTTCGTGTTGTTAAACACATCTTAAAAATAACAATAATAACAATATATATATGTATATATATATTATATATAATATTAATTATATATATACTATATATATAATATATTATATATATATTGTTATTATGTTGTTTTTAAGATGTTTAACAACTCTCTAGAAAACTGGAATACCATAAGAGACTTTATCAAACATATTCTCCAACCAAAAGCTATAATTGGTACTATAAAAAGCACTTGTTCACACCCAGTTTCACATGCAAGGTAATGTCTCGCCAGATGGTTCCACATGTGGGGTTAAATGGTAAAATATATATTGTAACTGTTGTAACATGTTGTTCTAGCTTCCTCCCAGGCTTCACAGTTGGAGTGTATAGCGTAATCATCTTTGTGGCATTGAGAACAAATTGGGCTTTCAGCGATTTTGAACCTTTGTAGGTGATTTTTTTAAGCATCCATGACCTCACAGAGTTTGCAACAAATAATAATCCATTGCCCCGTATTTCCTAGTTACTCATTCTTTGATGTTGGGGATAAGGCTATAAGTCCGTTTGCCTTTTTCCTCCAAGTCCCATCGGCTTTGCCATTTGTACTTATGATGACTTCTCAGCTCCTTTGATGTAATTTGCCTGCTTCGTTGACAGTAGGCGCATCTGATAATTAGCCACCTCCAGCCTCAGGTATATTGCTTTCTTTACTTGAGCTATACTCGATAGGTGTACTGACCAGAAATAAAGCTGCATTGTCTAGTACTGTACACTATTCAGAAATTATCCTCAGTGCTAACCTTCTCTGAATCTGAATCTGTCATTTGGGATTTTTATGTAGGGCATGACCCCACACTGGGGCAGTATACAACATTCTCGAGTGTACTGTGCTAGATATTGTCTTCGCTTACTTTTGCTAGGGCCTCCTGAGCTCAGCATAACTCTGGAGAGGTTTGCACTAGTCTTTGCTGTCTTATCTCCCACTTTTATGATGTGGGGTCCAAAGCTTAATCTCGAGACAATCTCGACACCAAGATAAGTTATTTGCTGGTTCCATCTTATAAGCTCGTCTCCTAGTCTGACCATGGGGGGCCAGAATCAATACGGCTTGTTTTTGCTACTGCCATCTTGAGGTTTCTTATATCCAGCCATCTTTTCACCCTGTGAAGAGTTTCATTGGTCCTGTGAAGAGTTTCATTGGTCCTCATTTCCAGTAGTTCCACGCTGTCACTATGGTACATAATCGGTGTGTCGTCAGCATAACCAATGAGTTGAGAGTTCTTCAGAAGGTCAATGTTCAGCAGATCATCATAGAGCACATTCCACAGAAAGGGGCCTAGTCTTGACCCTTGTGGGTCGCCGCAAGTCGTGTTTTGCTGTATCCGATATCCATTCATAAATATTATTTTTCTCTCGCTGAGGTAGGTCTTCTTAGCTACCAACGCCTGAATTATGTATTTCCACCTGGTAGAGTTAAATGCGTTTTTTATAACTATCGCCACCAGGTCACAAAAACCTCCGGTGTGTCAATGCTGGCTCCCCAGATAGGTGTCCCCTTGTTGGACTCCGTTGTGGGTGAGGAGCACGGAGACGAATCTGCTTCAATTCTATCGAGCATAAAACAAACCCCAGAAGGAAGAAGCGATGTTTTGAGAAAACGGTGGATTTGAGTAGTTTCTTCCTTCGGGAAGAAGATAAACCAAAGATGCCACGTTTCTTTTGATGGCATGCATGGAAGAAGGGAAAACATTTCAAAGTAGTAGTGTGATTCGTCTCGCGTGAGCCATTGAGGACAATTTCGGTAAACTCCAAGCGGTGGTGCGTCAGAGGAATGGTACCATTCTTTTCGAAGCATGCACCGATGAGCAATTCAAAAAAGCTCGAAAACAAAGCAGATTGCCGGCCTCCATGTGGAAGTAACCATTCACCCTACCCTTAACGGAAGTGGTGAATCACAATGACTTTGCGTCCGAAAGTGTGGAGGAACTTCTGTCTTTCTTCAAGAATAAGGGCGTAACAGAGATGTTTAGGATCAAGGAGAGTGGGAAAGAGATCCATACTCTCACTCTGATCCTGACGTTTAATCTCCCCTCTCTCCCAGAGAGGATTAGTTGTAAGTTTTATAATCTCCATGTGTGGCAGTATGTGTCAAACCCCCTTGCGTTGCTTCAAGTGTCAGAGGTAAATCCACGCACGATACAGATCCCTGTGCCTCCCCACTTCGCTGTGTTAGCTGCGAAAGAGATCATGCGGCCCACTCGAACAGGTGCCCTACATATCAGAGGGAGAGGGAGATCCAAAAGATCAGAGTGACGGAGGAAGTATGTTTTCCCGAGGCGAAACGCTGATACTTCGTGAAGAATCCTATAGATCTCGGGCGTTCTTTTTATAGTACTTTGGCCTAGACGGCAAAAGCAACAGAGAGTTGTCAGACTTCATTTGCTACTCCCTCAGTTGCTCTTTTCTGTTGCCAGGTGTCTCCAGTAGACTTCGCTGAGGAGACCTCGCCTCTGCAAGGTGGGAAGATAATAATTCCATCCAAATATAAATTGTCGAGGAAAATCACTCAGGCAAAGTCGGACCTAGAATCCACTTGTGCCCCGCATGAAGGCCGATGTCACTTGGCCTTCTGGCCCAGACAAACGTAAAAAAAAAAGTTCCTTCAAACTCCGACTACCTACCCGGACTCCTGAGTCTTGCTCTGAGCGATTTCTTAGCCCGTCAAGCAGTGCCCAGAAGGAATCTGCCTCAGAGAAAACTTCACCCGGACAGTCACCCCTTCAAACAACAGAGGCATAAACGGAAAAAGAGGAAGAAAAAAATCCCCTAGGAGTAAGAAAATTTATATCTAAAAGTTATGGCTCTCCTCTCATGGAACTTTAATGGCTTTCGCACCCGTTAAGATGAATTAAAGCTGATAATGTCTCTACATACACCCTGTGTCATCTGCCTACATGAAACACATCTTCTTCCTAAGCATTCCCTCTCTCTTCGTGGTTTTTGCTGCTATAGGCTAGACATTGATGGTGGCCTCCGGGCACGGTGGAGTCGTTACATTAGTTACAAACTCCCTGGTGGCCAAAGAAATAGACGTACGAACCACTCTTCAGACATCTTGCATTCATGTGTACTTCCGCCCTATATCAATAACTATTTGCAACGTCTTTATCCCGCCTGGCCAAGTTATGTTGCAAGGGGAACTTGAAGATATATTATCTCAGTTGCCCGCCTCTTTTGTTATTGTGAAGGACTGAAATGCCCACAATCCCGCCTGGGGTGGCACCAGGACTTGCTCGAGAGGCAATATACTTGAAAATATTATTGACAACCAGAACTTAATTCTTCTGAATACTGGCGAAAGCATGCATTTTCCGTTGCTTCAAATACTTTCTCGTCCATCGATCTGGCTCCCTGTAGTCCATCTCTCTCTACCATCATTGAGTGGACTGTCCTTGATGACCTGCATGGCAGTGACCACTTCCCCATTCTGGTCAATTTCTATATTCCAGACCCAAACATTGCTCGTCCCCCTCGCTGGGTAATCCACCAAGCTGAGTGGGAAACTTTCGAGAAAGAAATATGGATATCGGAAACGTGCCCAAACAATATTGATGCAATGGTTGCCCATTTTACTAATGCCGTTCTTCATGCTGCCTCAATTTCCATCGCGAAGTCGTCGAATTACCTTCGTCATCCTCCCGTGCCCCAGTGGAATGCCGACTGTGCCATTGCGGGGCGGGATTGGAAACGGTCTTAGGCAAAGCTTAGTAGGTTCCCAACCATGAATAATCTGATCAATTATAAAAGATCACGAGCCAGAGCTAGATTGACCATAGGGGAAAGTAAGGCTGCACCCTGGAGAGCCTATATTTCATCTCTCTCTTGCCGTACGCCCCCTAAAGTAGTGTAGCGAAAAGTTCGACAGATCGGTGGAAGACTTCCTCCGTCGTCTGTCTCAGGGCTTCTGATAAATAGAAATTTTAGCAAAAGATATAGTTGAAGAATTGACCTCTCTCTACGAGCATATCTCTAGCTCCGTACACTTCTCTCCTAGATTTCTGAAAACCAAAAGAAAAATGGTGAACTGCCGACTAGATTTCTCGAGTTGCGCGGGGGAAGACTACAATGCTCCTTTCTCCATGAATGAATTTTTCTGTGCCCTCACTTGTGCAAAAGATTCTGCTCCAGGACCATACCAGGTACATAATCAAATGCTTAAATACCTGCCAGAAAATGCTTGTTCTTTTTCCCCTCCGCATTTTCAACTTGATTTGGGATGAACATTCCTTACCAAGGATTTGTCGTTGTTATTCCAATCCCTAAAGAAGGAAAGGACAGATCAATCCCAAGTTACTGCCCAATCTCGCTCCCAAGCTGTGTGTGCAAGCTTTTAGAACGAATAGTAAAGAAACGTCTGTTCTGGTTCCTGGAGCAACGAAATCTATTTACACCTTTTCAGTGTGGTTTCAGGAAGCACAACCATGGACCACGTAGTCTTCCTTGCCACTCAGATCTCCACTTCTTTCGTGCTATGACAACACCTGGTAGCATTTTTTTTCGACATAGAGAAAACATATGACACCACCTGGAGGTACAGCATTCTTCCCACTTTGAATTCTTGGGGCCTTAAGGGATGGCTATCTTCGTTTCTAGTAGATTTTCTTTCGTCAAGATATTTCCGCGTCGGCCGTGGCTCAAGTCACCATTTAGAAAACGGTGTTCCCCATGGATCAATTCTGAGTTCAATTCTGATCAATTCTGTTTGCTGTTGCTATCAATAGTATCACATTAGTAATTTGAGAGCCTCTGCAAGCATCGCTCTTTGTTGACGACTTTGATATATTCTGCTCCTCGAAGAGCATGCAAGTTATTGAGAGGCAGTTACAACTTGTCCTTAACAAATTGCAAGAATGGAGCGATAAAACTGGATTCAAGATCTCCACCATCAAAATCCAGTTGCATGCACTTCTGTAGAATATATCACCTCCATAATCATCCTGATATTTTTTGGGGGGGATCAGCAACTTCCCTTCATCGAATCTGCCACTTTCCTTGGCCTGACATTCAACACTAGTTTAACATGGTCACTTTCAAAACTTGAAGAGGCGCTTTGTATCTACATTGCACCTCTTTCAAGCCCTTACTGGTAGATCATGGGATGCAGACAGAATATGTCTTTTGTGCCTATATAGGACAATCATCCATCCTGTCTTAAATTATGGGTGTATTGTGTATGGGTCAGTGTCTCCATCGATACTCTGTTTATTGAATATCACACACAATGCCGGTATACGGATCATCACTGGTGCCTACCACACAAGTCGCATTGTATGCCTCTTGGTTGGCGCTGGTGAACTATCCCTGAGCCGAAGGCAAGATATTGCAATCGACTCCTACAGTGCGGAAGAATCAGCCATAAATACACCCTCATGCCAAGCAGTTCTTCATCCAAGTCACAGGACATCGTACTAACTCAGATTATTGTTACCCCTCCTCTTGGTATCCGTCTCTACACACTATTGCAAAAACTCGATATAAAATGATATATCCCTCTGAAACCCCTTTGAAATCTTGTTTCCCCTTGGAAGCTTCTCCGGCCTAAAATAGACCTGAGATTATCACACTTCCCCAAATCCTCAACTTCCCCCAGTACATTTCTAGCGGAATTTCAGGAGACAAAATCCATGTATTCTGGCTATACTTTCATATACACTGATGGTTCCTCCCAGAATGGTAATGTAGGGTGTGAATTCTACTGCCACAGTGCCATGCGGAGTCTTCGACTACTCTCTTCGTGCAGCGCTTATACTGCAGAAAAATATGCGCTCTTGGAGGCCCTTATGTTCGATGAATCACTGACATTAAAAGAAGCTGTGATCTGCAGTGATTCAAAAAGCTCGCTCGAATCTACCTCCTGCTCCCCTTCTTGTGACACTCTGACAATAATCATCCAACACCAAATCTATAATTTACTGGTTTGCTGGTGTTGGATCCCAGGTCATGTTGGAATAATAAGGAACAAAATTGCTGACCAAGTAGCAAAGGTCACCACAAAGAAAACTGAGGTAGACATTCTCACAGTCCTAACAAATGATACAAAGCTGTTTATCAAATGTTGTATTCTCAGTGCATGGCAAACAGCGTGGCAGAACTGAGACTTTAAACTCATGAGAATCAAGGATTCCGTAAAGCCTTGTCCTGTTCATCTCGTTGATCAAGATGCGAGGAGATAATTCTGACATGCCTTCGGATTGGTCACTGTCATTTCTCCCACTGACATCTTCTTCTTGGTGACCCACCCCCACTTGCGATAGTTGTGATACAGATCTTACTGTGGGGCATTTCTCCTGCACTGTTCAAAGGTAAGAGATAGCTGGCGAAGGCTTCACCGTGTTAGCTCTCTAGCACAGGTACTTGGAAATTATGAATCTTCTCTCTGCAAGCATTTTAGCTTCTTATGAGAGTCTGACATTTAGAACATTATCTGTGAGAAGACGATTATGCCAATTATTTGGCTTATAATTGGAGATTTTAAAGTGTTTATCTGGCTCTTTACAGCTAACTCTTTTAAATAATTGAACATTTTTATGTTCAGTTTTTCTATATTTTACCTTGCAACAAAAAAAAAGTTTGTGTCTAGCACTACTACAGTGCGTATTGATTTTAGAAAAAAGAAAAGAAGAAGAGACGGGCGCCAATGACCTTCACTATTGAAGTACCCTTAAACCTTAATTTTCAACATCTGCATTCCTTTTCTCTTTGGACATGAGCACTTCGTGATCTGAGGGTGCCTTTTCTCCTGTAGGTACTTCAGGTGTGGAGGGGGTACATGGGGGTCATCTCTGCATATAATTTTTATGTTGTTCAAAAGAAATTACGTATTGGCACTGTACACAATTCAGATGGAAGAATATTCCTCATCATAATGTGTCTTATTTTAATCATTGTAATTTTTAAATTTGGGTAGTGATCGTTGGTAGAGAAAGAGAGGGAAGAGAGGAAGCCTATAGCTATGCGATCTACTTTTATATTGAACAGTTAATGGCTTTCCATTTATCACATTGTAGATGGTGAGTACCTCCAGCCTTTGGGTGATCTGCAGAGCTTTGAGAATGAATGGTTGGAGCTTGAAGTGCGTCACCCAACTGGCTGGCAGAAGTCCAGCCCTTCCATCTCTGGCAGCTCACCAGCTGTACCAGCCTTCCTTGCTGATGTGTTGCAGGAGAAAGTGTGCCTGGAGGATTCCATCACCGAGAGGGACTGGGCTGGTAGGTGAACATGCACGCATAAAAACACAAGAAGTTGCTTTGAAAGGCACAATAAAACCTTTTTTCTGCATTTTTGTGGTCTTTTCTTCTTTGTGTTACTTTTTCAATGTTTATGTTCACTCTATAATTATGCTGCTTTTATTACTTTATCTCAAATTACGTTTCTGAGCACTGTGTGATGACTTTTGGTCTAGCTTTTCCTCAACAATGTTATTCTGCAAATCATTCTTCTTTTTGTTTCACAGTACCTCTCTATAAACACACTCATTTGGAAATTGACATCAATAATAAGAGTGATCGTGTGGAGTGGGGACACGCACGATACCAGTCTGTCTTCTGCCCAGACAGAGCTTATGAACTTGTAGCCCAGTGGGTGACGTCTTCAGGACCCATCGTGGCTGATTTGGTGGGTATCTTAAATGCAATGTGTAATCTAAAGGCCTCTTCACAAGGTGCCTCTTAGTAGCACTGCTGACTGATGCATCTGCTGGCAAAACCTTAGTTGAAATGGAGGTATTTACATGAACAGCATAGTTGCAGCGCCGGCATATTGTCCTCGTCATCGCCAGCAGAACACAGCTTTAAACGACAGCCTTCACACTAGACCACGTGAACATGCCACTAAGCTTGTTTTCACCTTCTTGACTACCTTGCTGCTGCCAGCAGTGTGACTTGCAAATCTTTCCTTTCTGATAGCCAATGGTGCTCAGCAATGGCTGTGAAGTGACTTAGCGTTTCTCAGTGGAGCTTAGGTAACCTTATACTATAGATTACATAAAACAACAAGGAATTGAAAACAATATTTATTTATTTCAAAATATACGGAATCAAGTCCATTATTTAATGATAAAATTACAAAGAAATGATTGACAGTAGGTGAATGAATTCACTGATACAATTATTCATATAAAAATGTTCTACGTTTAGCTTGAGTCACAAACATATTCGATCCAATATGAAATGCATCTAGAGAACAATTATTGAAGAATTTACACATTCTCTTTACCGGGCTATTTCCTGTATATTAAAGATATTTTGATCTTTTTTCTTTATATTAAACATATTAAAAGAACATTGTATAAATAAACAAATAAAACAATGGAAAACTGCCTCCAGGAACACTTTTTTAAAGGGAGAGTAAAATTATGATCATATTGTGTATAATGTGCATCTGCAAAATTCTATTCTTTTGACTGTTTGAAATCCAGCCTACCGTGTGTTTTTCACAATTCTGGTGGGGCTGACTTTGTTGAGTATAACTCGGGGAGAAGCAAACTACGTCCATTGTGTTTGAAACTCACATCTTCAAAACTAAAGGTCTTTGCACTTCAGAAGACTATGAGGAAAGTACATTTTGAATGAAATTTTTGATGATATGAAACACATCCTATTCAGATTAAATAAAAGATTCATCCCAGTCAGATTAATAACCTTTAAGGTTCAAATAATGCCCTCTTGAATGAAGTTCAAGATCTAAAGGGAAGAGGTGGCTTATTGTATTAACTAATGTCACTGCAGTGCCTCTGACTGGTAGCTCCAAGGTTTGATCCCTGACAGTGGTAAGATTTTCAACACTAATTTTTCAGCTAGGTTGAATTCAGGAGTCAGATGTCTAGAGGAGAATTCTAGTGGCTGGCTGCTCTGATCATTAGTTTTCCACGGCTTCTCCGATCAACACCAGGCGAGTACCGGAGCAGTACCCTAACAAATGGGCCACAGACTGCGCACATGATCTTTTCTTCGTCTTCCTTGTCCTATCCTCGCTCCTTAAACTAACATGCACTACACTACCACTCATGCCAGGAGAATGGGCGAGAGCTTAGAGCTTGTCACAGCTGGGACAGTGCCCTGCTGGTGGGAGATACCTGTTAGATAGAAACCCTGCTAACTGATGGTAGATTGGCACCAGATCTCGCCATCCAGTGGGAGAAGATCACCACCACCTCCAGAGGGAAAAAAACGTGCACTACCCTTACAGGATTAATGATCTCGGTAGTTGACACACCCGGAATTACAAATATCCAACCAATCAAGATCAAAAGATTGTGGGAAATCAAAAATAGAGGCTTCTTTCTCCAAGTTTTGAGGATCATAATGTCCAATTTCTGGACTGAAAAAGATGTTCTCTAAATTTTATTATTTTCAGTGTAGATGCATGTCTGAGTAACTTGCCTGCACAACAACACATGGTAAGTGACTAAGAAGTGGTAGAAGCTGTTTTAACAGCTATTACTTGACAACATTGGCATGTTTTCCATGATTAGATTAGGTAAAATCAATGATGTGCCAGACTCTGCGAAGAATCAAGGCCGTTAAAAGTTACTTTGAAGAGTAGTGATCTAGTTGAGATATTTTGAAAGATAAAAAGAATTATAAAGGTAAAGAGAGGTTGATCTTTGCTGATCGTACTCCGAGGCAAAGAGGACATTTAAAGGACTTACTTTGTCAACTCAAGACTGATGAAGAAAAGGGTATTGTACAGAGACATTCTCCTGGCTTGAGTGGTAGTGTAGTGAATGTTAGTTTACAGAACCTGAGATATAAAAATGGCAGAAGATGAGATATAAAAAATGAGATATAAAAATGGCTTCTTACAGAAGGTTCCAAGGTAATCTTTTCCTAATCAGACCAAGAAATCTAAGTAACAGGCAATCCCCAGAATTTGCTATTTATTACCAGAATGTCAGAGGTCTTCACACTAAGATACTATTATTAAATAGATCCTCATAGATTTGTGATCATCTGCACATTGTAATCTTACCTGAAACCTTGTTGAATGCTGAATATCTGGACTCTGAAGAGAACTATCACTCACACAATATCTTTAGACTAAACAGGAACCCGTCTATAAGTGTCTACGAATGTAGCAGCAAAGTTCTGATTGTGATTCACAGTAAATATGATTGTTCTATGACTGGGTGTGACAATTATATGTTGAAAATCTTTGTGTTCTTGCGAAAATTGTTTCTTTCATATATGTGATTACTATTGTATATTTTCCTCCAAAAACATCACTAATCTTTATTTAAATTACACAGAATCTCTAGAATATATTTTTGAAAAGTATCCATTAGCAAAATTTGTAATAACCTGCAATTTTAATTTACTAGAATTCAGATGGGGGATTTAAAAGGTGATGGAGATATGAATTTTGTATTCCTTAATAACTCAATTCAAATTGTCTCTTTATTTTTACATACTTTTAACTACTTAAACCCAAATCAAATTAATACAATTGTGAACTGTAATGACAAAATTTTAGATTCAATATTCATTCAAAATCCATGATTGATTGTGAAAATATTAGACTCTCCTCTATTACCCATTGATGCTTATCATCCTGCTCTTTAGAACGCTTATATATAGATCACAGTATTCCTTCCACTGACATCCAAGAACTGAGATATAATTTTGAACAAACTGATCTGTATGCAATTAATGAACTACCCAAGTTTTATTGGTTTCCTATATTTTCAAACAACTCACTTGATGTATCTGTTTATATATTGTATAATAAGTTTTATAAAATTATTGATAAATATGTTCCAATTAGAATAATATCACTATCAATATATCCAACTTGATATTCACGAAAGTTGATGTGTATGCAAATGTCAATATCATCAGCCCACTTGAAATATAAAGCTACTCTTGATGTAGATTATTTGACTTTTGAGGACTATTCAACCTGTATACAAAATTCAATCATCTATAAATTATGCTATCAGTTTATTTTAGAAATTGGCCAACTCTAAGCAAAATGGCACCGAACATCCAAGATAATGTTTTTTGAAAATGATCATGTTAATAACCCACAATAAAATTGTTCAAATTCAGTCTGTATATCAAACAATGTGACAGTTCCAAATGAGTTACTCCATAATGATAAAATTATTGATATTGATTACTTAGAAATAACTCAACTTAATGTTTACAAAGCCATTGAAAAATTAAATGATGAAAATGATGAAAAAATCCATTGAAAAACAAAATTAAAATAAACAAACATTAATGTAAATGCTCCCCTGGTCCAGATGGTAAACCTTCCTCGTTATTGAAAAACTATGTAGTGAGTAGTGATATGGCATTAACAGTTCTCTCTTGAAATGGTTTGGAAATTATTTGATTGTATGTCAGATGTTCCATATATATGTTCTGTGGAATACTCTTGGATGAGACTTGTGCTAAATATGAATACTTTGTTTAATATTCCATTTGCTAATGCCAACTATTATTATTTTTCACCGATGTGGAAAATGTGCCAATTAGCAAATAATAATTTGAAGAAAACTGTTCAACTCAACCTCCAAAAATTGCTCACACATTGTGTTTCGCTCAGCGTTCTCTACTGCATGCAGCCGGTGATCTATTTTAACATCAGGTTTCGCTCTGTGCGAGGACCTTCATCTGAGACGTACAACTTTTCCCTGCCCTTATACAACTCTGTGACATTACTTTAAGGCTGATTCTTGGTTTTGCAAGACTGAATTCACACCAGTCCCAGTCGCATCTTAAGGCCTATTTCCAATGTGGCTAGCTACCGAACCTGCATACATCCATGCATAACGTAAATTGCATATCCTTGGTAAAAATTGCACAATTGCCTGTTTCTAAATAAATAAATGATACCTTGGCCTGACAAGCAACTGTGAGAAATTGGTGTGTTTACTTGAGGATTTGGATCCCACACCCATAACAATAGAACAAGCACTGACATGGAGCCAAGGATTGTCATGTGATGTTTGGGGTGTGTGCAAGTGTTCTCCACCACATCTCAGAGGAGTGGTAGATATCACGAGAGGCCCTGGTATACATGTGTTTTGTATTTTTATGTATATTATTAAAATCAACTCTGGTTCTATACTTCTAAAACTGAACTCTTATGCTGAAAAATACATTGCAAGTATTCAATCATAGCATTCTACACGCAGTCTTTTAAATTGCCAATTGCATATTATATTAATGTATTATAATTATTTTTAAACTTAATTTCCTTGAGAATGTAATTAAATTCTCCTTAATTTCAAGAGTGTGGCTTGAAAAAAAATGCATTATTGGCCATTCTGGAAAATACTTTATATACATTATTGAAATGGTGTAAATTATAAATATTATTAAATTTTAATTTGCTTTTATTATAAACTGCTAATACAAATAACAATGTGGTTTGTTACTTTTTTACCTCACAGCTCTTATGAGCTATCAGATTCAGACTCACTTTTGTTGACATCTCCAGCGAACACTTTTTGAAGAGTACACTCTAAAAACATTTTGGTAAAATTTTTTGCTCTCTTCCATATTAGTCCCGAATATCAGTAACTTTTGCTGGATTAAGTGGAGCTTGAATGACAGGTTAAAGTGCAATATTCTCGGGAATTCTATAATAGAATATTGCTCTACCAACCCAACAAATAAAGATAAAATCATGAAAATTTGCTTGGATATAGATTAAAGTATGCAGAATTCATTTCTGCATTCTTCGGAAGAATTGCACATAGTCGTATGGGCCCCTCCTCTAGTTACTGCCTCAATTGAGTCAGATTTATGTATTGGTGTTATAAATGCAGATTTCCATATCGTTGGAAAAATACGTTTTGTTAATGATTTAGTAAATAGTTTTTCTAAAATGTATTGAAAGATATAACAATTTTCTTTCCATATGATTGGAGGTATTCCATCTGAGCCTGCACTTTTTTCACGTTCAATTTATTAATCTGATTAAAAAAATAATTTACTGAGATTCGAATAGTATCAATGTTACATGGAGTTTGATCCTCGATGTTTACATGAACTTCAATTATTGATTTGTAAAACATTTTAAAATATTCTCCAAAAGCCCTGACGATTGAATCGCCCACCACAAAGTTTTGAGACTTATACGCCATTATATTGGGAAAACCTTTACTGCTTCTTTTGGAATTAAATAATTCCAAAAACTTTGAGGATTTGAAGCAGTGAACATTCCCATTGAGAACAAAAGTATTTCAAATCTCTCCTTGCAAGTCTTTTATAAATTGGTCTCAATGTGGCAAAATTTGAGTAAATCTGAGGTGATTTGTTATATTTATTACCTTTATGTGCCTTTATTTTGAAAATAATTGAATTTTTTAGTTCAGCGCTGTACTAAGAAGGAAATTTAGATTTGACAATTCTTTTTTTTTGAATAAATAATATAATGTAATAGTACAATCTTCTGTAGAATATCTGAATACTTTCGAGAGTGTAAGATTATCATTATTTAGATCAGTATACAAATTTCCTTAATACATTCTCCACTCATCATGGTCCACTATCGAATAATTGAACACCCAATCAAAATATTCAATATATTGCACCTCATCTACAAAATTGGATTCTGTATAGAGTGTTGGATGGAAAAGGTTCTCTGAGACAATTGTTTTATGTTTTGCATCACGTGATGTTTGTTTTAAATTTGTAAAGGCTAAATCTAGAGTTGTATCTGAGCTATTTACTACTGTATTAATTTGATGAATATTTAGTAACCCAAATGTATCTAAGAGTATCCTAGAACTCTTTTTGACGTAAAGTTGTTAATCTCTCAAAAATCGGATAGCAGGAATGTTCATTATTAAACCATGTTATATCTGGTAGATTATAGTCCCCCAACAAAAGCCAATCAATATCAGGGTAATTTAAATCAAGATTTTCAACACTGCTACAATAAGAAGTAAAGGTATTACCTCCAGCTTGCGGTAGAAAATAAACAGTGTTGATAATTAAGTAGATTTTTCTATCATATATACGAACAAAGAGGTGTTATTTATTCAATTATTTTTTTCCCCTCATCATTTATAGTACAATGTTGCAAATTGTATTCACTTTGCACTGACACATCTCTGAAGCCTGTGAGTAGACTTTTTAGGATTCTGTACAATAGCTTATAATGATTTAAATTTTGTCTCTGAACTAAATGATGGCGAACCCCACCTATGGCAGTCCATCACTGCTCCATTTGCTTCAAAACGTTTCCGTAATTAGAATACCACCTTCTGTGTTGATGGGACAGTATTGAAGTGTTCATTCCACCCATTAGTTATTAATGCATAGTCACCTTTGTATGATCTTTGAATACAGAAAGTTCTTTCTTCTTTCAATATCGTATCAACAACATGGAGAAGGAACCTATGTAAGCAAATCTCGTTCTAAAAATCTGACTGAAAATTTGTATAGCAATGCATTGTAGTGTGTCTGTGAGTAACTACTTATCAAAATGTTTGAATGTCACTGGCAGGAAATTAAAATTCATGCAAGATTAAAACCGTAATAGAGTAGAAGTAATAATGGGTAATGACGTTTGACCTACCTGGTATGTTATGTGAGTAACATTTAACTCGAGTGAACAATATATTATATAAAAATAGAATGTTCAAACTAATAATGTACTACATGTATAGTAATAATTTTTTAAGTGTCATACTTTTCTGTTCTTTGTGGATTGTACATTCACATCTGCAAAGCATAACACTTAAAGAGGCAATTAAATAATGCTTTGAGCTGTTGTGTGCCCAGATCATTGGATGGGCGCGCAAGGCTCAGCTGTGTGGTCTGCTGATGGTGCCCATCCCTGCAGACCCCCTGGCCCTGCCGTTCACTCACAAGTCAGACCCGCTGCGGGGGCCCATCTTTGTGCCCCTTGATACAGAGAGCCTTATGGGCAGCAAAAGTTATCTATTTGAAGGTAAGTTTTTATTATCTTTTCTTTCTTTTTCTTCTTCCCACCATTTTTTGCATATAAATTTTGCACACAACACTTGTGAAGTAATATGGATTCAAATTATCACGTTTAAAACTATGTTGTCCATGTTCCTAATTTCTTTAATTGTTTTATGTTAATTAAGTGAATCACAGACAAGGTAAATTAATGTGTTGTGATTTTGTTATTCAGAATTCAGTGAACATTCTTGGGACCAACGTTTACTGCTTTTTCAAGAGGCCATTATCAAAAGGTTTGGTTTCATTGCCTGCACAGTGGCAACACCTCAAATGGGTTCTCCTTCTTCAACCACTGGGAGTGTTGCTCACTACCACCAATATGTACATCTTACTGGCAATGTATTTATTCTCATCTCTACTCAACAATGCCAGGTGTGTAATCGGAACATTCTAGTGAAATATTTGTTGAAGAGAATTGCCTCAAGAGTTTTGGCAGAAAAAGTGTTGAGCTTAAAGAATGTGTAAAGTTTATAATCAATTAATTTTGCGTAAACTCTCTTAACTTTAATTCCCATCTCTACATTTTACTGTTTTTTTGGTGAGTCAACTCAATAACAATGTGAGGTCAACCATCTAACTTGTCTATCCTCTGTAGAGAAGTTTTTTCTAGCATTTCTCTTAACTTTTTGGAAATGTATTGTATTGTGTATGCCATAGCTAATTTAATTTTTACAAGCTGATAGCAATGGCCCAGTTGCAATAACAAACCTAAACAGTTACCTTAACAAACATGCCAAGGATTGTACACAATCTTTCCTTTTGTAAATTGTTAATATTCATGTGTCTGTTCATGTATTAATTAATACTATTGTGGTATTTACATAATAATACAATAAATATGCATTTAATGTTAGGTTTTTATTATTGCAACCGTTTCAAGGATCTTGTTCTCAACATCTAAGGATTTCACAACGAACAACTATTTCATAATAATCTATCTATAATGCATATTCAATCTTTCATTTGCGCCAAGTCACCAACGTATGGTTGTACGCCATATTTGTCGCTATATAACATACCATGTGTGTGTTTATCGCTATTATAAACACAAACATGGCATGCTACCAGATATTGGTGGCTTGGCACCAATGAAAGACTGAATAAGCGTTATGGATAGATTATTATGATAATATTGTTAGTTGTAAAACCTGATGATGAGGACAACAAGATCCTTGAAACCGTTGTAATTATTTATTGTATTGTTATGTAAATACCACAATTGTTGAAAAGGTCTGCTCTAAACTAAAGGGCCAAATAGATCAATCAGCAATCTTCCCTTTTCCATCCTTGTTCCTTCTCTCCCTACACATAAACATACTCTTACAAGTACTACACTAATCCACAAGTGGAATACCAGTTGAGAGCTTAGAGCTTGTCCCGGTTGAGGTGGTGACCCAGCGTGGGAAAAAACCTGGAGAGGTAAAAACCTACAAGTCAGATAGGTTGGCTCTGAATGTCAGATTGCAGTGGAGGAGGAACATTGCCATATCTCAGGATATAACATGCACTACGCTTAGAGGACTAATGACATGAGTAGTTATGTTCAGAATTAATACTCACTTAAGTTTTAGAAATGTTTTTGAGCCTACAAATTGATTTTTTTTTATTTAAAATTTTGAAGGAAAAATTTTTAAGAAATTAACAGAAAAATTTACTTTAAAAAAATTGTTTTTGAATAATGTCATTTGATTTTGGGGTCTTAACTGACAATATTGCTATAATATATTAATCTTCAATTTATGAAGTGACTATTATCAAAATAGTCATACTTTGTTTTTCAAATTTTATTTTTTTTGTAAAAGAAAATTGGTTACCCTAAATTTTAGTGTTAATCTATGTTATGCTCCCATGTTCTGCTTCTTGTTTCATTAGCTTGGTTTTTAGCATTTTCTTTCAAGGTTTTAATCTGATAATGACAGCACCGATTGGTGTTTGTTAACAGCCTCCAACTCGCAGCAACTCAGTGTCTCATAGTGCAGGACGACCAGTGTCTGGTGCAAAAGCATTAAGTCAGCGCCGCTATCCTGTTCATTCTGATGTGTCAAGTCCCCATGAAGAGTACATCACACGCCACGTTAGTGGCAAGAATCAGAATGATTACAGCACAGAACCTAGGGTATGTTTGTAATTTTTAAATGTGATAAAAATTATACTCTTATGTACTTTTAATGGCAAGTCTTCTATTTGACTTACCATTGCAATTAGGTTTTTTAGATGTCGTGTTACGAGATGAATGAGATACGTCTGTGTCATGTTTTAATGGGCTTAAGTATAGAATGTTCATGCATGGAATATTAATGACTAGAGGAGGAACTGATATGCTTCCATCAAAATATGCCTACATTTATGCTCTTAAACTCGGTGATATATGCACATAAAATGAATGATGTTATGTCAATAAATTACTTAAAATATATACTAACTTCTGTAACTTATTTCATTTTATTGACCTCTCTTATTTGTTGTACAATTTCATTATACAGAGATGACAAGTATCTATTTCCCAATAAAGATTCTTGTGAAATGTTTCACTGTCACTGATTCTCAAGGAAATATCGAACCTGCTTAAGTTTTTGAATAGAGTGCAAGCCCAAGAGTGCCACTGTGGGAAACTTGCAACTTGCTCTGTTTTGTTGCCAAATACCACTGCCACAGTAACTTGTTTTGTTACAATTACCTTTTAAGGTGACCTTCCATCTTCATGTATTCCATATTTTGGAATTTCTTTATTGAGACTTAATGTAAAACTTGCTAATCAGTTAAATACATATGTTTGAAAGGATGCAAAGCTTATTTGACTGAAAATTATTTTTCCATTGCTTTTTCTGCCCATTCTAAGCACATTCACTTGACATAAAAAAAAATTCTGCCTGTTTATTGAGTTAGAATCCATTTCTACAGCAAAACCCTTCTGCGAGATTTATTCTTCGCTACCAAGTGAAGCATCCAACTGCCCACTAATATTACAATCGTCTCTGTTCAAAATGCTGCCTTTTCAGTGCTTTTAAATGAATTGGTTCCATATTCCCTTGGAACATATTCCCTTCAGCAATGCTATTTCTTCATTTTAGCTACTTTGCTACTCTGAAACACGTAAAGAATTTCTTTACTGACTTTGTAGTGTTAATCTTTTTAATAAATATGTTGTTTATGTCTTGAATATGATGTCAGAATTTTTCGTTCATGTTTAGATTGGATTTTTGTGGTCTTGGAATCACATGGTGAGTCGACGATGGAAATTAGCATCTACAGCAACTGGAGATGAGATGTTCCAAATGAAAATTTTACGAGATTTTCGAGAGTTTTGTGCCAATGTTGACAATCGTTTGAAAAATTTCTGGGACTCATGCTGGAACCAGAAGCAACAGGCCATAGCTCCAACAAATAAGTCCTAGCTACTAACGATATTCATTTCAGTGAATCTCGTGAAGGAAAGTGTATCTTTAGATGCTATTTTAAGAGAAAAGTGTTGTTAATTGCCAAATATGTTCATAGCTAGTCCATTCTATACATATAAATGTTATAACTTACATTCTCTCCATTACTCCTATTGTTAAAAGTATGTTTAAACGGTTCCTATGTTTTTCAAATGCAGCTTCAGTTGTAACATTTGCTTTCAGTATTGCTCTTGTGCCACCTACTGAATTACTCGCATTATTTTGAACCTCAAGTTTATAAAATATCAAATTCAAACTTTGTCCTCATCTTAAGGGAAGTAGTTTGAGCAAGTTTTGCAAATGAATTCTACTATATTATTTTCATGGAAGGGGAGAAAATTATGGTATTCAAAATATGATCTTGTGCTTTCTGGTTGTGTATGTGTGTGCCAATTATTATGTACCTGTAGCAGCTACAGTTGTAGCCATTCTCTTCCTTTCATTTCACTAATGTCTAATAGGGAGGAAAAATTGCCCTACGCCTGGCTATGCAATTTATATTGTAAATTTTTAAATTTAATGTTTTCTATTCCTTATAGTGCCCTGTGTTCTGTTTGTTTTTTAGTTTTGAAATTTGGTTAACATGATTTGATTGATGGTGTTGTTCAAAGACAAAAGTTTGTTCCTTTCATAATGCATTTGTTTTAGAATTTTATGTTATTAATATTTACTGCACGTTTTCCTGGGAGAGTAGTTACCTTTAGTGGCATTTCAAGTTGATAGGAAGAAATATACCCAAATAAGTTAAATTTATGAATTCATTAAATTTAGTATATCAATAAAACTGTTTTTTATTAAAGGCTTATTGTTTGTGTATATACATTCTTAATTAAATTGCATATTCTTTTATGAGGTAGTTTGTGCATGATGGTTGTGAGTGAAACTTTTAATTCATGTACAGTCTCCAAAGCAAGAGAAAAAATTTTTTTATTACTGCTATCATGTGCTAAAGCATTGGATGGAAATGCTACCGAATTACAGGACTGAACAAAACCCCAAAAGAAAATTGATTTGAAAATAATGATAAAGGGGTCCAATCTCTCATCCTCTCCCAGGTTGAATATGCCTGGTCTCCTGGTACTTTGTGCCTTTTTGAAATGCACCTAGTAGACTCAGAAAAACAGAAATGTAAGTAACCAAAATTATTAGTTTATTGTTGCAAGGTTACACTTGCGTCAAGTAAATTGTTCTAAAACCAAAAACACCCTCTTATTTACTGAGAAACATGAGTTTTAATAATGAAGATAGTAAATTGTGAATTCACTGACAACTTTTCAACTTCGGGAATCAAAAACAAGGCTGTTTTGTTCAGTTCTTGTATCTTTTTAATGTAGACTTTCCTGTACTTACCTCCTTTTGCAGTGCAACTGAAATTTCATTGAGTTCTGGACCAGGAGATAGATATAGCGAACATGGGGATTAAAGAAATAATTAAACATAAAATGGAGTATTAAATATTTATTTTCCACAAAATGAATTCTTTTATGAAAGTTACAATCATTAAAAAAAAAAGAACAAATCTAGTCGATTACAAAGATGCCAAATATCTAGAGCATACAAAATATCAAATGCATTTATCAATGATGTTCAGTGTAACTTTTAAATTGGCATAGTTAAACTTTGTTCACATTGAGTGGAAGTGAATATAAAATAAATAAGTGTGTTGAAGACTTGTTACTTGCGACTCTCAGCAACAACAGTCTGGGGCTGCAAGATAGGCACCCCTGTTACACCAGGCTCAAAGGTTGGAGGAAGCTATAACAATTTAAAAAAATAATTTTTAAAGCTGTAAATTATTATTATTATTATTATTATTATTATTATTATTATTATTATTATTAAATATTATAAATTATATTGTAAACCATGTGAAGAGCCTGTGGTGAATTCTGTATGTTATTGTAGTTATTTCCTATGGGCTATCGGAAAGGAGAAGGAAGAAGAAAAGGTTGGGGTACGTATGGTCTCCATTTGAATAATTTTCTAGGTTTTGCAGATGAAAAACATTCTAACTTATACATTTACACATACTCTTAAAAGATTACCTTCAGTATTAACACTCCGTTCTGCATTCTGATTCTTTTATCTAATGAATATGCCTACTGTTGGAAACGTGTTGTACTAAAGCAATTTCTTGCTCATATCTTTGTTTTTGAGCACAACCTCAAAAGTGTGTTGAAAGTCTTCTATCACTGATGAAATTAATTAAATGGAAATTGGTTTGAGATAATTTTTTCCTTTTGTGAGGTCAACAAAACCACTTTTAATATTAATCAATATAACAGAACTTAGATGCTTACATTATCATTATTTAATATGCATTAATATTGAATATTAAATTTGTGATATCATCATATAATTAAATTTATTCTCTCATAGATAAGAATTCTGTCTTGTACTATATAAAAAAAAAATTGTTTGAAATTGTCACGGATATCTAATGTTTTTTTGTGATGATGCTCTCTTATCAAAACAACCCATCTGCATTTTATGTTATTGCTATTTTGCTATAAAATTGTTTCCAAAATAGAGAATTAAACATAATTTTCACAAAATGCTTCCTTCAGCTCTATGGACCTGCTTGTCATTTGTGTATGCTTATTAAAATTGTTATATTTCTGCTAATGAAGTATTTCTGCATATTACGTCAAATGTTTTAAAGTTTTCTCTTTATAATACATTTCCTTTATTTCCTATACTTTTTTTTTATATTAGTTTTACATATTATATATTAACATTTTGAAACTCTTGGGCAATTTGTATTGCTTTAAAAAGCAAGATGAATGAATAAAATGTGTAACTTCTGTGATAACTTTTCAAAACATTTTTCTGTGTATATTTTGTAAATAGATAATTATGTCAAATTGTAATATGAGACTACTGATTTATAATGATATAACTAATGTAAATAATGATGTGAAGATTACCAAAATGGACATTGTTGTACCAAAACATTTGTAATAAATTCAATTACATGTAGTTCCTTGTCTTTGCACAATCAATATATTCATATGTTCCCTCTCCTCTAAATTCTACTTTGTGACATTTGCAAAGTAAGACATACATTTTTAAATTGTGTCTTATGGTTTTCATCTCATTAACATTCCAACTTTGCACACTGATAAAATATGGAGAGAAAAAAATGTGCTCGATTGCTATGTTTTGTTGCAATTTAATTCACATTTGCAATATCTCATTTTAAAAATTGGAGAGTGAAAGAAAAGATTTTTATTGCCTTCAACTTCAATCGGTGGTAAAGATTTCTTATCTCAAGAACGATTATGCATGGTGGATGGAATTGTAATGATGCTCAGTAGCCACTAATTCTGTGGTGCAAACAAAGGAAAGGTTATTTAATAATAATTTATAAATATGGTAGCAGCTTACCTTGGCACCTTCTGCAGGGGAGAATTTGAATTTCTTGACAAGAGCAGCAATTGCTAATTTGGCAACAAGGACACTCCACTGAATGCTGATGTTGGCTGTGCTGTTACCAGCCTGACCATAAGGTAGGAATGCAAACAGGTCTCGTGCCTCTTTGTTATCACGTGAGAATCTGAATATCAGAATAAGTTTTCTTACTGCATTTCGATTTTGGCATTATGAAAAGAAAATAATATTGTTTACAAACCTCTCTGGATTGAATTTTTCAGGCTCTTCATAAATCTGAGTTTGCCGATGCAAAGCATATGTAGGAATAGTAACAATCATTCCTTTCTCAATTTTTGCATTCTCTAACTCCAAAGTCTCGCAGCATTCTCGTTCCAATCTAAATGTTGGAATAGATGAAATGCTTAGTACGGTTACCTATGAATACCTGGCTATACTCCATTACAGGAGTTTTGATTTTAAAAAGGGTGCCCTTTGAAATTTATTCAATAATTTTACATTTTAACAAATTACTTGCTATCTGTTCAAGAAATTATTTTTGGAACTCACTAATTCTAGAAAATATTACTTAAAAAAGGAATCTGCTCATTACCTGTACTAAAATCAAAATGTAGAGTAAAACCGTGCTTTTACATTCCTGGAATTTATGTTTTCTCCATCATTTACAACAATTTTTACCAGTCCATTCCCTCAATGTTCACAATGTAAAATTATTCTGGCTGTTATACTTTCAAATTAAAATTTACCGTCTTTGCACTTTTCCTTTCATGACAGTATAAACACAAGAGGATAGGATGGCTAATGATCTTGTATATTTCCACCAATTTCTAGATATACTTGACTTTGTAACAAGGGAAAAACAGAATTACTTTATTTTCCTAAGCTTGTTGTTATTCCTTTAAATTCTATTTTTGAAAAAGGGAAAATGATTGTGTTGATTTTCCATACATTTTAAAAATGTTTTGCATATTGCTGATGTATTACTGGTAATGTGTGACTATATAAATGTATACTTAATTTCCAATTTTTTTATTATTCCAGTTGGTCATTCATATTGTCTCTCACAAGCATGTTTACTTGGTAGTAACTATTTTTACTTTTTTTCCAGATACAATATCGTGTTTGATTTTGTGTGACCCATGAAAAGAGTAAAAGAAGGGTTTCACTGTAGTAACTATCAACATTAAGAAAGAATAAGATAAGTTACTATGTTCTGATTTCAACTCACCTGAATTCAACTGGGTAGAGGCGCAACACCTCTGAGATAAACATGTCTAGGTATTCAGAGTTGTGAACCAAATCAAACTCATCCTGTAAAAATGTATTTTGAAGATGAAATTCATGAGTTTAAACAAGTAAATTACATTATTACATTTCTGATTTGCAATACAGAATCAGACATTACATTTACCTCAGAATCGATATAGAAAAACATTGATTTTTGTAATTGTCCATAAACTGAAATGAACGAGTCTCTGTTTTGATAACTTTCAAAATTTTATTTAAACGTTGAAGTGTTTGTTTTTCTCAAAATACTAGTACTTTTGAGAGAATTTTTAAAATAAATTAAAGAGAAATAAACATTAAAAACACCCTACAATTAGACTACAGGTGATACAATATAGCCTAGACTTTCTTTTAATAGAACCTTGGGGTACTCTAGTGATCTGCTGTGTGCAGATATAAAGCAAAGTGCTTCATTCACTCATTCATACATTACCCCACTACTCGCGAAACACATAGGGTATTCACTTGCTACTTCAAACTTAGTGAAATTCATGAGTTTTTTGCTTTTCTTCTTTCTGGTTTTACTTTTCAGATTTGTGTGCATATTTGAGTTTTGAAGATGCAGGTAATGCAGATCCATTTAATGCAGAAACCTTATTCCAATGGAAATGTAGTGCCCTTTCTGTGTGATGAGACTCCTTGGAAAATTTTCGTGTAAGATCATTCCTTGTAAATTTATTGAATTGTGACTTACAGAAGCTTCTAGTTTCTGATACAATTCTGCATGAAGACGCTCTTGCAATTCTGGATTGGCTCCTAGCATGACAGTTCCCATGGTTGTCAGTGAGCGGGCAGTCAAAGAAGCATTGAGAAGAACAGCTAAGCTCTGAAACATACGTGACATATTAAGACTTAATAGTACTGTATGCTTATAACAGCATTCATTGATGTCACCTACGCTTTTAGTCCCTAGATTTTCTAAAATTAGGTGTAATTGAACTTAAACCATTTACTCATTCATATAATGAGTCATATTAATGAGTTATAATAAATAATGAGTCTTAATGTATCTTTTATTAAGTTAATTAATGTAATGATTTGTTTAAGTTCAGAAACAAAAAATAATTGATAGGGAATGAAATTTATTCTAATAAAGCCAAATAAGTATAGGTTTTAATTTTTTCCAAAATATGTATGAAAAAATAAAATATATGTAAACTAAAATAATAATATTATAATGTTCAAAATTACTGCACACATGAATTTTCAAATTTTTTGACATAAAACATCACTGATCAGATGTTGTAATGGATTTAAAATGGCTGAAAGTTCTACCTCTACAGAAGTAATTGTAAACTAGTCTTCACCACACATTACATATAATATTCAAAGTGTACATTCATTACTGTTTTCAAGGAGCTAGAGAGTGAACGAACAGATGTACCATGTTGCCAGAGCCGTGTTAACGCACAGGCTCAAAAAGGCCTGGGCCCAGGCTCCTCGATAGTTCTTAAAAAAAAATAAATTTAATACTATATTTTTCAAGAAATAAAATAAAAAACCTGGAATAAAAAAAGTGATATATGATTAAACTGAAAGTAAGAATAGGCCCCTAAATTTACCTAGGCCCAAGGGCCCCCAATGCTGCTTCCAAGATGGATAGTGGAGAGAAAGAGAGGAATAGAGAGCGAGAAGAACTTGCAATCCCCCCCAAATCGAACAACATAATAAGACAATGATATGTTAAAGATATAGCATGATTAAGTGCATGGTTGAGATTACTTCTGCTTTGCAAACATTCACACTGGCTGAATTTAGCTAGGAGCCAGCACGTTGTCACTGACTATACAGTCATTGACAAGGATAAGCTAAGGTTTTAAGCCTCTTCTGTGGTAGATATCCAACACCATAGCTAAGTTGAATTCAGCTGCTGTCTGGAGCGCCCAGCAATTGTGATTAGTAGTTTTGAAATGTTCCATTCTGAAGTATAAGGGCCCTTTCACACGAGCATAGCACTGATGTGTATTAAGTAACACTGCATCTTTTGTGAAACGGTACATGAACACTTTGGCCGTTCCACATAAAATACACTGTTAATCTATGATGTGCAATACTCATCAGGCATCAATGCGATGCTCGTGTGACACAGGCCTAAATACATTAAAATCTGACTAAACAGTAGTCTTGGGATAAACATGTAAAAGTGTGTAATTATACCAAAGTATGTAAAATAAAAATTATTTTAATTTGTTCAAAATGACATGTGATAAAAAAATTGAATGCAGATATGTTGTTCCTGTATGTTTGTGTGTGTGCAATATATATTTACATGAAAATCTGTTCTCTATTAAATAATGTTTGCATTCAATTAAGAATTATATGACAAGACACTTCTTCCCTTCTGTACTCTGCTGATGAAACCCAGGGTGATGCATCCTCCTGGAGGGATCCATAGTTATAATTAGTATAAGAATATAAGGGCTCATAACTCCCAGCCGAGCCAAGACTATAGTGTGCATTTTCCTTGCAATGTCACAGTATACATTGCTGTGTGATGATGAGAAAATTCACTTCTCAGGTTGAGAAGACTGGAATATAGCATGGGTTTGTCTACGTGCTAACCATACGTCCCCCCTTAACCTATGACTGCGAGGCAGGGACGTTGTTGGTAGGCCTGACCCCATTCACAGGCTGTTGCCCCAAGTACGTACATACATACTTACATACGTAAGAACATATTGGTTCAAAATTGATTTTACAGTTTTTATGCTAATATGAAGGAACAAAGAAGTATTCCTTGCTTCAGTATGAAAGATTATTAATTGATTAATTGCTGCATTTCTTATCTTAATTTTGTAACGTGTCACAAGATAGTTTGTTTTCAAAGTGTTCTCATATTTTGAAACCCTTCTCTCAAAGTTAAAGTTCATTTTCATATCATGAAACATTTCCTGATCAGAAATTTACCTGGACAAATACAAACTCCTTGGTTTCAAGAACATTTTCTTCATTCTTGCTTTCTTCTTCAGAATCTTTCTTCTTTGATGCTTGGTGAAGTTCCAGCAGTAAGTCCATTAAGTCAGGTTGACGATCCTATGGAGACTAGTGTGAGTTAATAATAATAATAATAATAATAATAATAATAATAATAATAATAATAATAATAATAATAATAAATCATTGAATTTAAATTTATGTACTGTTCATTAAAACATATTGTTTAAAAAAAGTATTATCTTTTTGTTGTATTTGAAAAGAACCACACATCTTATTACACTATGAGCCCCATGGTAAGAAGTTACATATAATTATGAAGATGTTTTGAAAAACAAAACATTTGGTTAGGGTTGCAGTAATGAAATAACTAGAGCTTGAAATTCTGGCAAAATGGATTTTTATTATTGTTAAAATTATTACTACTGAATTACAGAGTGACAGTAGTATTACTTTTAAAACTTTTTATAACATGAATATCTTAATTGTATTTATGGTGTTTTATACAATTTTTATTGTCTGTTTTTGCCTAGTTTAGGTTACGATGCCTATTTTTTGGTATTTTGCCTTATTTTGATCATTTCCCTCATTATTTTCCTTTTTCTCCCTAACAGTGATCTCGATCAAGTTGGACTGAATCTGCAGGTCTGGACAACATGAGGACATTGTCAAGTTTGTCTTTCTTTGCACATGGAGACATGATATCAGGCAAGATGGTTTGAACTTCGGTTCCAATAGCAAGAAAAAAATTGTTACAAGGTAGCAAAATGATATTAGTCATGATTGATTAATCTGTGTCATTAATGCTGACAGATGTACACTCTTAAGGAATTCCATCCCATCTTTGAGTATGGTCTCTAATCCCTTTTGAGGACTGTACACAATGCAAGATATGGCACTTCTCAGTGTTACCAATTACACACAAATTCAAAGAACAGAAACAATAATAGCATTTCACTTAGGCCATTACAGGATTCAAAAGATAAAAGTTTAGTCCACAAGAGCATTTTGTAGAGACAGTAGACATTCAGTAGTGAAACTGAAAAATTATCTTTCTGATAAAATGGTATTTAAATAATTTCAATTATTAAGTATTTTTTATGATAAACCATTCTTAATAATAATTTCTGTTGTTGACATGCATTTTACATCTCTATTTTAGCCACAATAAATGTCATTTTGCATGCCTAGTTTAGATAAAATAAATGCCTGAACTCCCGGACTCTAGTAATAGCCTAACAGTTGCAGACTCATTATAGAATACTGGCTTTGGCATTGGTTATCTTGCTTGCTTCTTTACGTACCTTTTTCTCAGCATTTGCTTTCTCCTGCACTTTGCAGAGTAGTAATGAAGTGAAGTATTTTGCAGCTTTAGGTTTCAACACAAATTTATCCAAGGGAACAAGAGACGGGTAGATCACTACAATTAAACAAATAGAATCAATATATGAGAAACTAATTAATTGAGATATTTACCTCATGATCTTCAATATACTACATAATTAGCATGTGTAGTTAGGAACTTTCTTTACTACCTTCCTTATAAAATATACCAGACCTTATTATGCTATAGAAGTAATACTTTGTATTAAGATCCACTACTTTTATATTGTAAAGATAATTATTAGCTTAAGCCTTCCACTGATATTCTTATGTTTTTAAAGTTGCTAGTCAATTTGAGTTTTCATTATAATTTAACCCCTTCTAGTGAGTTAGAATATTTTTGGAACCTTGGAAAACCTAAGGATACAAAGAAATTGCAGTTCCATGCAGCCAGCAACGCAGCATTTCATTTTAATTGCTTGTTTATGATTGATATGTATTGAAATAGTACAAGAATATGGCATAGAATTATTTATACTTATATGAAATTCCAATGAATTTTTTTTATTTTCTCAAAACATGGCTCCAGTTTTTTCTTTAAAATCTGTTGCTTAAACAGCGCAGGTACTGCTGAGGCAGCCCGAGGTAAGCTCCTGGGTAATATATATTATGAGGTGTTATAGTTATTTATGTCGTTACGCCAGATAAACAGCAGAAAACAACTAAGTCTGTTATTTGTATTATCTTAAAAATATCATAAAAATATGTTCTTAAAAAAAAATCACGTAAAACGAGAAATATTTCTTGGCATAAGAGTATTCATCTGCTATCTTTAGCTACAACTCGTCTGTTTTAATTGTTCTTAATGGACAGTGGACTATTAAATTCTTAAAGGATGCTGGCTGTTAAGAATGTCATTTTGTTTCTCAGCTTAGTTGAGTTAAGCCAAAATAACAACACAATATTATGAAAACTCATTATGTGGTACTCACTAGGAAATGCTGCAAGAGGTGAATCAGGGTTGTCATTAACAAACGCCTGACTGAAGTAGTTTGAGAATTGTTTAACATCAATGGCCTTCTCAGTCTCATCATAACCCAAAACAGCTTCCACCAAAACCTTGACTAGGAAGTCAGAAACAATTCTGCAACAGAGCATAATGAGATTAGTATGGAACAGAAGTTTAATTAATAAGATGAAAGACTTCAAAATAAACACAAAAGGAGCCCCTTATCTTCTTTATTATATCTTCTAAATCTTCCTATATAAACCTTAGTTTCTTTGTGGTTGAATGTCAGTAGATCATGAATTTTGTACTAACCTTCCTTTTTGTCTATAAAATTGAAGTTAAAATTGGAAAAATAGTAGTTATAACAAAAATGTAGGGAAGAGAATAATACAGTATACACTGTATATCATAAACTACAATAATCTTACTGGCAGTGATAAACACAAACAAATCCAAGGTTCAACTGAATTTCAATTTATAAACAACAGAAAATAAAAACCGATGAAACTAAACTTACTACTATTTACCCCAATCTACTATCTTCTTGCCTTCATGGTGACAGATTGAAACGAACTATTTTAACAAAAATAATAAAATTAAATAAAACCACTTTCACACCTGCACACAATCTTAATTAATGTTTGTCAGTTGTAGCATTCCACGTTTTCTAAAAACAAAACTTCACGTTTTCTAAAAACAAAACCCCCGCTTGTATATCCCACTTTCCGCAAACTTGTGTTCTTTCTCTCACTCTCTTTCCATTTACCAATTCCATTTTTTTTTTTTTTCCTGGCTATATTCGACTTCCTTTAATGATGTTAAAATGCAATCATCATAACTTAATAGTGTTGTCTTGTGTACAATTTCTCCATGTGTAGATAATCTTCATATGGACATAATCCACATTAGATTCAAAAATCGTTCATAATCCTCCTGGTTAGTCCATCAACAAAATAAACTTCCTTTAACTTTTTCTTACGACAACAGATTATTTTTTCTCGTTGATTTCTTTCTTCTCCTATGTCAAGACACCCATCCATCTATCACACATGTTCTATGCCTTGCTATTTTTTTTCCTTTGGCAGGCTTTGCCATTGTGTATTCATTACAAAACACAGTAGGTTTTATATGATTTCCATGTGCTGAGGTTAAAAGGTCAATTATTAAAAGGAATAATTATTGAGTCACAGTATCAACAATATGAATCTTTGCGCTTTAGAACTGGAGTCCTAACAAAACTACTCATAATAAAACTAGGAATGGATTTTGAGCTTTACTGTTTGCTAAATTACAATAATGAATTTGAATGTTGTTGCTGTTTTACAATTTATTATAATTTTGATAAAGATTGTTTGAAACATTAAACTGAACAATGAAAAAATATGCACAAAAACATTATTGGCATGTAAAGTTTAGGACAATTTGCAATGTTGGGCCACAGAATATTACAATCTTTTATTAAAATCATTTTTCAAAACATGTGAACATTCAAAAACTTATTAATTCTTTTGAAGTTAGTCCATTTACACATTTTAGCAAGTAAAAATCTAGTTCTGTATTTCATAAATATTTTAATACATGCAATATTCAGGTATGCCTCCACACTGTCAGTAATCATCTGAATTTTTGTGACCAAGGTTTTCGTTTATTCAAATTATTATAAATATGATGATATTATTCTTGTTCGTTCATCTTTCTATGTATAGATCTGTTAGTAAAGGTATTTTTTGTGTTCTTTTGTTTTAAAGAATGTGTTCATAAATATTTGTTTCTGCATATATGAAAGTATTTTTTAGTGAACACTTCCAGCTCGATGTGGATTGGAAGATTGTAGCTACTATTCTAAATATGCGTGACAGTTTGTAACATTTGGAACTTTCTTTATTTTGGTGTAGTTGAGTTTAAGTGACCAGTAATGAAAATAATACAAATAATAATAATAATAATAATAATAATAATAATAATAATAATAATAATAATAATAATGATAATAATAATAATACAAATAATAATAATAACAATATTAACTTGCAAATAACTTTGAGCTAAAAGCTTACCCAGAGATAATCACTTTTCCTTCAGCGTTTTCAGTCAGTTTCTTTATAGAAGATGAGAGCTCATTTGTACAAGCCAAAATTCTCGGCAAAACCTGCAATTTGAAACAAAGAATGTGTATGACAACTGATGCTGCACATATGAAATATACGTGGGCTATGGCAAGTATGCATACACATGCACGCGTGGCAAGATAGAGTTCCATACTTGCTGCTTTAAAAAATCTGGAAGTCCCAACATTCATTATGAAAATAGTCAAAATCTACTTTGAGGAAAGGACCTTACTGAACGAAACAGAGACCGGTGTAAAGGCCTATGGTTTATTGGGCGATGTTCCGTAAGGCTCGGAACTAGGCCCGCTGTTGTGGAATATTATGTATGGCTCCGTTTTCAAGCTCCAGCTGCCGGAAGGTGCAAGAGCTATGAAATTTGCTGACGATGTTGCGGTGGTAGTGGTCGGCAAATATACTGAAGAGGTCACGCACGTTGCCAATGAGGCTGTAGCTGCGATCCGGCGGTGGCTAACGTCGGTGTCGCTCCAGATGGCCGAGCATAAAACAGAGGCTGTTTTGGTGACATACAGGAAAGTGGAGGGTATTACCTCTCAATGTAGGGAATAGTAAAATAACCTCCCAACAGTCACTAAGATATTTAGGAGTCAAGATAGACGCAGGACTGCACTTCGACGAGCACTTGCGTATATATTCTGTAAGAAAGCGTCCCGCATGGCCTCCGTCTTGGCACGAATTATGCAAAACATTGGGGGTCCAAGGCAAGCGCGATGAACTCTATTCTGCTCTTTGCAGCCTCCATTTGAGCTGATGCTTTTGGGATTCGATCGTGCGCCCCTGGTGCGTGCTCAGTGTATAGAAGGACCGCTTTGAGGGTGGCCCGAGAGTTTCGCAGGGTATTGTATGACGCTATGTGTGTGATAGCTGACATAGCCTCTATAGACCTCATGACACAAGAAAGAGCCAGGCTCTGCAAACGTAAACGGGAGGGAGCTACAATTAGGAGCGTCAAAATGAATGAAAAGAGGGAGGTGACAATGACACAGTGGCAGCGGCGATGTGTTCTATCATTCACAGGTAGATGGACCTTTCGTCTTATTCCAAACATAACGATGTGGACTCAGAGGAAACAAGGAGATGTGGATCATTATTTGACTCAGTTGTTAAGGGGGCAAGGGTGCTACCGTGCATACCAACTCCGTTTCCGGTTGGACGATGACTCCTCATGCCCAACCTGTGACCCATTGGTTGAAGATGTGGAGCATGGGTAAACATGGGAGATCCTTGAGTCATCAACTTTGGTATTCTACTAACAGTCGTTGTTGCGGTAACCGTGGCGTCCTTGCCAGGCGTTTGTTTATTCACGAGTTGGATTGCCAGCTAGGAGACCAAATTATTAGCATTTTTCCAAATCCAACTTCAAAAATAAATGGTGGTCAGGTGTTTAAAATAAATTCCCACTTCACATTTTAAGGTATATATTTTTTCATTAATCCCCGATTTTCATCACCTTTAGTCAAGATTAACAAATGGATATGTTGGATGAGAATTCATCCAACATTTTCCACGAAGTCCATTGAATTTACTTTTGGGTAAATACAACGGATGTGTGAACTCATTAGACGCTCATGCAGTTTGCGAGAGAATAAAACTTCCACTGATGAAACGTATTTTAGAATCCATACTGGAAACCATTTAAAATAAATAATAGACATTCTTACATAATCAATAAGAGGGCTATTGCGTTTATGTAGTAGTAATTTTGAATTAAAAGTTAGTATTTATGTTAAAAGTTCATACTTGTGTCTTCAGGTGTAAGGGAAATTTTGAGTGGAGAAAGAATGAATCTTCTTTCATAAGTATCCATATCCTTATCTTATGTATCCACAGACACACATATACAATCAGGTGCGTAAGTAACTCAGTACTTTCATAGTCGCCCTCGCGTGCTCTTCCGCATGCCACCGCGGCCTCACATCCGCCCTCGTACCTGCCGCACGGCATCCTTGGAAAGAAGCGGCGTGTCCTTGGCGCCGCGCGCCTCCAGCGCCAGCAGCCCCTGGTGTAGGAACTTGTCACGAACACAGTTGGCCTGCAACAAACGCGCTGTCATCGGCTCTCCACCTCGCGTGTGGAGAAGAAAACGGAGAACAAAACAAAATATGAATTAACAACAGGTGTATTTGAAAATAAAGGAAATAGTAATGAAGTATTGAATATGATTTGAATAGTACTACTTATCAATTAAATTTGTTTGCTTCCTAAAAGTACTGTACAACTATTTATAATAATAATAATAATAATAATAATAATAATAATAATAATAATAATAATAATAATAATAATTATTATTATTATTATTATTATTATTATTATTATTATTATTATTATTATTATTATTATTATAGTTTTGAATATTGTTTTGTATGGTCAACCTTTACGTACAATTTGGATTGCTCTTTTTAAAAAACTTCATATATAGAACACCGGATAATTCAAATAAAAATTGATGAATTCATTTTTATTGCTATATATTGAGACAATTTTTTTGAATCAATGTTTCGTGACAATAAAACAAAAATATTAGGTGTATTTACAAAAACTTTAAATCTTCTTCAGAGATGCGACATAAATATTTTCAAATTGAGATAAATAGGTAAGTATAATTTGAATAGGGAAGATAGCTTCAAAAATATGCATAAAAAATAGCAGAATTGATTTAATTGTGAAAGCAAACAAATCGACTGCTGGGGTAAGAGGCAAAGGTGAACAGGAGCTTAGGATGAAATATGAAGTGTAGTAGAAAGGTGAAAAGGAGGAAGAGCGAAAGAGAAATGAAGTACAGAAAGAGAAAGCTAGGAAGTTTGAGGGATGTAGTGAAGGAGAAGAAAGTTGGGAGAAAGAAAGGAGAAAAGAAAAAAATAGTCGGGAGAAGAAAAAACAAAGAGGTTGTTTTTAAGTTTAGAAGGGAAACGGGGAAGAATATGCTTAGAAATCAGGAAAGAAAGAAACCAAATTCTAGAGAGAGGAAAATCAATGAATTGTTCTAGTTGAATGTACTAAAAGAGGCAGGTATTCGAGTGTATACAAAAAAAAAAAAAAAAAACAATTTTTTTACACGATACCATAGATTGAAATTTCATATACTAAAAAATGTCAAAGTTTTTGGCACAAAATGTCACCTTTTTGCCGAAGTTCGGTGTGATGTTCATGCAGACGAGCTCGGAGGATTGTAAATCGCCACGAGCTTCGCAAGCGCATAAGTCCTCAGTGCAAAAACATCTACTTAACGCCCTAGATACATAAAAAACTATTTTGTCTTTCATTTTTTCGAAAAATTATGTCTCTAATTGATATATTATTTCGGATCTGCAAAAAGGAGAAACTGATCCCTTTGTCGTTGCACAGAATCTTCTGATATTTGATTGATTGACGATTCTGGCCGGGTCAACTGCTAAGGTCATTAGTCTCGTAAATGTAGTGATGTTTTATCACGGGAGGAAGCGGTGATCTTCCTCCGCTGGCTGACGAGATCCGGCGCCGACATACGTCGACTTTAAAATATTTCTCCAAATAGGTATCTCCCACCAGCATGGCACCACTCCAGCCGGGCGCTCTAAGCTTCCGAGTGGACTCCTGCCATGTGTTGTACTGTAGTGCATGCGAGAGTATGTATGTGTAAGTAAGGGACGAAGAAAGGACAAGGAAGAGGAAGGAAAAATCGTGCGCGATCCGAGGCCCGTTTGTTTGGGTACTGCTCCGGTATTGACTGGTGTTGATCGGAGAAACTACGGAAAACTAGCAATCAAAGAAGTTGTCCACTAGAATTCTCCTCAAGACTGGCTGAATTCGACCTAACTATCTAGCCAGTGTCGAAAATCCTGCTACCGTCGGGACTCGAACCCTAGGCCCTCTCGGTCAGAAGCATTGCAGTTCAGAGAGTAGTTGAACAAAATACGACAAAACTTAGAAAAGACAATGAATACATCAGTAATCATCAGCATCTATTAACTTCGATATTACACATCTACCACAATCTTCATCTGCAAAGAAAAGACTGGTACAAGTAGAGGCCGAGAGAAGCAAAGGAAATATGTGATGTAATTATTTTTCAAATGAAAAAAAGATTTACTTTCACAGGTCATGTGACTGCTACCTCTTACGTCATGTCGGAAATTTTTACAGTTTACGATTTCCAGAAGAAACATTAAAAATTGTTTGTGATTCTTACAAGTTTTGGGCTTTAAAAATATCCTTTGGAGTTTGAAGCAATTAACATTGCAGAGGAATTCAGGAGATTATCAGGCACTCTTCGTTTGCATCAGTTTCTCAAAGAGTGTAAGTTAGGAGACGCGTTCAGTGAAGTTATCACAGTATTAGAAATCAATCCCAATTACAATTACAATGACCACTTCTGAAGTGGTGAGAGATGTTTTTCTACCCTCAGAGAGTAAAGCCGTTTCTAAAGAACAGCAAGTCACATAACAGGTTGTGTGCTTTGGTCACATAAGCAAGGGAGAAGAATCTCAACATAAATTGCTTACTTTAATAAAAAAGTGATTGAAAAATTCGATCATCAAAAAGAAAGGTGTATGCGTTTCCTCTTAAAATAAATGAGACATTAGCTTTAATAAATATTGTGTATTAATGTCTAAATTGAACTATAAACGTACTTCACGTTTGAAATTAAAATTATTGTATATCTCTTTAAGAAAAGTTTTGAATATATAACGAATTTCACTCGAAGAGAGAATATGTTCCTGAAAAATTACAATCTCTTATTATTTCAATAAGAAGGGGTAGTTAAATTTTTTAAATAAAATAAGAAGATAAAAACCAAGATCATGAAATGAACTAGGGTAAAGCGTGTCCAAACAATGGGGCTTGTCCATATCACCATATTTTCAAAACCTAGTTCGTTTCTTTTTTATGAATTCTATTACCGTCAATTGTATCAATGTCTAACTAATAGGAAACACGAGTAACATAGTAAATCGAAGCCAGAATCCTGTGCATCAGAGGTGAGTAAACCAGCCACGGACACTATGCATAATATTATGTAAGTGATGTTTGAAATAAAGACTTTAATAAAAGTCTTTTTAAAAAAAATTTAAATACAATTAAATTTAATAAAACTTAATTGTAATTAATTTATATTAATTGCTGACGTTTTATTATATATTAGTATTCTGAATTTTGAAAACATTCCAATCATTCGATGGAGCTGCAACTCCCAATTTGTTGGGGTACCAACCGCCAATGATTCTTGGACGTACTGCATATTATCCTTCACACTGGGAAATATCTTCATCGGTAGTTTTGATAAAAGACTGGTGGATGCCCCCTCTTCTCTTTCAAAGATCCAAGAGATGAGGGAATTATTTTCTTTTTTAGAATAGTGTAGTACGAATTATTTTAATCAAAGAAGATAAATATTGATGGAAAACTATAGAAAAGATGGTTCATTGTTCTATACATTAATCAGAATATACATGAACAGAATCTTAAAAAATGGTTGATTATGTGACAGTTAAAATGCTTCACTACTGTGCGCAAGTAATATGATAAGGGCCCTCTCATGCTTTTTGTTCAAAACAGAGACATAACATGATGTATATTGCTTTGGATAACTAAATCAGTACCCTTAAACAAGGCTATGCATTTTGCACTGAAAATATAAGCATATCCAGAAACATCTCATTCCCATTTAAAAATATCCTTACTCCAGTCAGTGAATTACATTTTATAAATGGTGTTTGGAAATATATTTGAATCTTCAGAAACATGTCTACACAATCACCATAACCATTTATAAAATTTATTCTTTATCCAAGAACAGAGACCAGTGTTTTATTGCCTTTCTAGTTCGAAGTGGTTTGCAAAATGATTTGTACTTTTTTAAAACTATGTCATTGATATCTGTAGCATAAATAGTCTTTTGAAAACCACAATTCTTCGAGACACCGAACCATCAAAGCTAGCTGATAATTGCTTACGGATATGAAATTCTTTCCTGCCTCTTTTAAATGTTTTAAATTATTTTCAAATGAAGGTTTCCATTGCAATATAACCATAGAATCAAATTTGAGATATCACAAAAAAAGAATATATCAATCACTGCATCATTTACAAACTTCATTTTTTCAGATAATTTAAAATATTGCCATTGCTGAGGAAACAGGTTTCTGCTTGATGTGTGAATGCTGTGGATTCAGATCTTGTGAAAGGCGGTATAATTTCCTTCAGATTTGCGTACTGACTCTCATCATACGCACTATATACCTCAAGAGATAAGATCACCAATGCCATCGTGGTCAGTAGCACAGTGGTAAGTGTTGAGACTGGAATACCGAGGTTGCGAGTTCGAATCCTCTGAGACAGAGTGGAATTTTTGCCAAGTGTACGAGTCTAAAAATGTTAGTTGACTTCATATAGAACAATTACTGGTTGTACCTTCGTGCCCTGGTGGCGCATGGCTAGCACTGAGACCTAACAAAGCGGAGGATTCGGGTTCGAGGCTGGCCCGTGCTCCGGGACGCCTCCGCCCAGCCCGCCCCCGTCTGCTCTGCTTTGGGAGGTCCCAGTGTGATGCCATGTGTAGGGCATTTTAAAGAATTTTTCCATAATATTCAGCATAACTTTTTGCAAAACGCCCCCCGATGGGACCTCATGCTATTGCTTTTCGAAGAAGATTCAGACGCGCGCCGACTCCCGGCGGAGGAGACCCTGTCCGAGCGATTCCCGGTGGAAAGGCCCCGTAATGTAACTTATAAGTTTTAAATAGTACTTATAACATTACGAGACTTTTCCGAGAGCAACGTAACGAAACTTGTAATATTTATATTACGTTAAATTTCGTTACGAGGCTCCACGGGAATCTCTCGAAAAGGGCGGGATTCGAACCCGCGACCTCCTCTTCCGCAAGCGGCAATGCATGCACGGCCCCATCGCGACACGCGGCGGCAGGTGATGAATTCATTCTACTTTAGGTACTATGCGAACATGTACTACAACTACAATGCGTAAAAATGGAATGGCACTCACAAGGATCGAACCCGCTACCCTCACTTCCGCAACGTTTGGAGCAGACACTGAACCACTGTGCTACGGCTC